ATTTTGGAGAAACAAGTCTAGATTTCGTTCAATACTTACGTACATTTGTAAATATTTATATATTTCCCCAACTGCTGCTTTTGTAGCAAGCTGCTTTTAATTCTATATGTGCAACACATTTCCATATCAAATATACAATAGATTTAAAAAAAAATTTTCAATTGCAGTTGACAGTCAATATTGTTTTCTATTAGTTTCAGATGTACATCACAGTGATTAGACATTTATATAACTGACAAAGTTTAGTGCCCACCTGGCCCCATACATAGCTATTACATTGTTATTGACTGTATTCCCTGTGCTGTACTTTACACGCTGTAGCTGTTTTGATACTACTGATCTATACTTCTTTATCCCTTCACCTTTTTCACCCCGCCCTCCTACCCCCACTCCATATATAGTTTTTGAGTAGTTGTTCTGGTTCCGTGCAATACATCATTGGTATCTTGATAGGAATTGCATTGAATCTACAGATGGCTTTGGGTAGTATAGATATTTTAATGATGTTTCTTCTTCCTATCTATGAATATAGTATATGCTTCCACTTGTATCTTCAATTTCTTCCATGTCTTTTAATTTTCCAAGTACAAATCTTTTACATCCTTGGTTAAATTTATTCCAAGTATTTAATTATTTTTTGAAGCAATTGTGAATGGGATTGTTTTCTTTCTTTTTCTCATAGTTCATTATTTGTATATAAAAATGCAACTAATTTCTGGATATTTGTTTTGTGTCCTGCTACTTGACTGCATTAATGTGTCAGTTTGAATAGTTTTTTTTGGTGGAATCTTTAGGATTCTCTATACAGTATCATGTCATCTGCAACAGTTTTTCTTCTTCCTTCCCAATTTGGATGTCTTTTATTTCTTCTCGTTGTCTGATTGCTATGACTGGGACTTTGGTGCTATGTTTAATAAGAGTGGTGAAAGCAGACATTCCTGTCTTGTTCCTGTTCTTAGTGCAGTGTTTCCCAAACTTCTCTCATGATGAGAATCACCTGGTGGAGTTGTTAAACTACAGATTCCTGAATCCCAACTAAGAAGTGCTAAACTAGAATTTTGGGGAACATATAGGTAAAATTGTATACTCTAAGAACACTACGTTAAGTATACAATTTTACCTATATGTTCCCCAAAATTCTAGTTTAGCACTTCTTAGTTGGGATTCAGGAATCTGTAGTTTAACAACTCCACCAGGTGATTCTCATCATGAGAGAAGTTTGGGAAACACTGTCTTAGGGGAAAAGGTTTTAGTTTTTGTCCATTGAGTATGATGTAGGCTGTGGGTTTGTCATATATGGCCTTTATTATGTTGATGTATGGTTCCCTCTATTCCCACTTTGCTGAGAATTTTTATCATAAATGGGTGATAGATTTTATTGAATGCTTTTCCTGCAGCTATTGATATGATCATGTGGTTTCTATCCTTCATTTTGTTTATGTGATGTATCATGTTTATTGATTTGCAGATATTGTACCACCCTTTCATCCCCGGAATAAATCCTACTTGGTCATGGTATATGATCTTATTATTGTATTGCTATTGCTGGATCTAGTATTCTAATATCTTATTGAGGGTTTTAGCATTTATGTTCATCAGAGATATTGGCCAATATTTTTCTTTCTTTGTAGTGGCTTTATCTGATTTTGGAATTGGGATAATGCCGGCCTCATAAAATGAGCTTGGGAGTCTTCCCTCCCTGGGAGGTTTTTGGATTCGTTGGAGAAGAATATCTGTTAGTTCTTCTTTGAATGTTTAGGAAAATTCACCTGTGAAGCTCTCCAGGCCAGGACTTGTGTTTGTTGGGAGTTTTTGAGTTATTACTTCAGTTTCACGAGTTGTAATCTGTCTATTCAGATTCTCTGATTCTACCTGATCCAGTTTTGGCAGATTGTAAGTTTCTAGGAATTTACCCATTTCATCCGCGTTGTCCAATTTGTTAGCATATATTTGTCTGTAATGTTTTCTGACAATCTTTTGTATTTCTTTGGTATCAGTTGGTATTTCTCTTTCACTTCTGATATTATTTGAGTCCTCTCTCTTTAAAAAAAAAATGACTTTTTACAGAGAGGAAGGGAGAAGGATAGAGAGTTAGAAACATCAATGAGAGAAAAACACCAATTCAGCTGCCTCCTGCACACCTCCCATTGGGGATGTGTCCACAACCAAGGTACATGCCCTTGACCAGAATCGAACCTGGGACCCTTCAGTCCGCAGGCCAACACTCTATCCACTGAGCCAAACAGGTTAGGGTGGGTCCTCTCTCTTTTTTTCCTGATAAGTTTGGATAAAGGATTGTCAATCTTGTTTGTCTTTTCAAAGAATCAGCTCTTGGTTTTGATTTTTTTTTTTTTTTGGATTGGATTATTTATTTCTGCTCTGGAAGAAGGAAATCTTACCCTTTGTGACAGCACGGATGTCCTGGGGAGCGTTATGCTAAGTGAAATAAGCCAGTCAGTCCATATGTGGGATCTAATTAACAAAATGAACTCAGAAGCAAAACAGTGACAGACTCAGAGAGAGAACAGGCTGACAGCTCTAGGGGTGGGGCTGGGTGGTGGTGGGTGGAGTGAGAAGAAGGAAAAAAAAAGGAAAAATCTCTCAGACACAGACACAGACAGCCGTGCAGAGGGAGGTGTGGGGGTAAATGGTGATGGATGGGGACTTGGTTTGGGTGCTGAGCTCAGTACCGTCCACAGGTGACTGTTGTAGAATCGTGCACCTGCAGCCTGTCTAATTCTGCTAACCAGTGTCACGCCAGTGAACTCAGTGAACATTTTAAGGGAGGATGGCGGTGGGGGAGGGGGTTCGGGCTAGTGCTGGCAGTTCCGTGGGAGACCAGGGAATGTACAGGGACTCTGGGGGGTGCAGAAGGGGAGGAGAGGGAAGAGAAAGGAATATATATATATATATTATTGATTTTTTTTTTTACAGAGAGGAAGGAGGAAGGATAGAGAGCTAGAAACATTGATGAGAGAGACATTGACCAGCTGCACACCTACTGGGGATGTGCCCGCAACCACAGTATATGCCCTTGACCGGAATCGAACCCGGGACCTCTCAGTCTCCAGACCGAGGCTCTGAGCCAAACTGGTTTCGGCGAGATTTACTTTTTAAAAATCACTACGTTTGGCTGATGGTCCTTGTAGGTTCCGGGTTTCATGAAGCTTCTGGCTACACGTGAGTGCTTATTCGATGAAACACACAGGGTGGAACACAGATATGCACCTTCTTGCCTCGTCCTCAGGCCTCCCTGGGAGTGCGAGGCCACGTGTCCCCCGTCTCAGGGTGTGAAACGTGCACAGTGGGTCAGCAGTGGAGCTGGGACTCGGTTCTCGGTCTGCCCGCCTCAGAGCCTGCCCTCCGCGCTGCGCAGGCGGCCTGAGTGACCGGAGTCCAGGCGTCCAGCGCCTTCAGGCCTGGCTCCTGGGACCACAGCGGGCGAGCTGGCCACTGGCTCTCTCCCACCGCCGTCCGCTCAGCGTTCCCCATCCCTCAGCCACCTTTCTCCTGTTCAAGGGGCATCTGACCCTGCTTCCTGTTGGTTTTGTTGGCCGGCCGCTGGCTCACACTGGAACCTCTTTAAGAACCTACAGCTCGTGCTAGCCGGGTGGCTCAGTTGGTTGGGTGTTGTCCTTTGCACCAAAAGGTTGTGGGTTTGATTCCCAGTCAGGGCATGTACATAGGTTGTGGGTTCAATCCCCGGGGGGGGGGGGCATGTGTGGGAGGCAGACAATGTTTCTCTCACATCAATGCTTCTCTCTCCTCCTGTCCCTTCCTCTCTTTTTAGGGTGAGGATTAAAAAAAAGATCTACAGCCCAGCATTCTCAAGTCTTCGTAGGAGCTTCTGTTTGCTAGAAAATAGTCATTAGCAGAAACTGGTTTGGCTCAGTGGATAGGGCTTTGGTCTGCGGACTGAAAGGTCCCAGGTTCGATTCCGGTCTTGGTTGTGGGCACATCCCACCCCCGGTGGGGGGTGTGCAGGAAGCAGCTGGTCGATGTTTCTCTCTCATTGATGTTTCTAGCTCTCTATTCCTCTCCTTTCCTCTCTGTAAAAAAAAAAAAAAAAAAAAATCAATAAAATATAAATAATAAAAAAGATAATTGTTTAAAAAAATTGTCATGAGGGCTGTCACCTGATTCTGAGGGCCTGCTCCACGCATTCGCTTCTCTTCCTCTCGACACCCTGGGAGGGGTGGCATGCCCAGCCTACAGATGTGGGAACTGATCCTTGGAAAGGTTAGTTAAATAACCACTGAGGGCAATAGTCACCTTCCTGCAGGAGATGTGGCCATGTGTATCACATGTGTGTTAGCAAGGACATTCGGATACTTGACCGGTCAGCAATTCCGCTCCTAGGTATGTACTCAACAGAAATGAATAATTAAAAAAGAAGAAGAAGAATAATTCCGTTCACCAGAAGATGTGTACAGGACGTTTGGGGCTGTACGAGCTGAGTAGTCCTAATCTGGAAAATACCCGCATGCCCAGCCAGACTAGATAAAGTGTCCTCTGTTCAAACAGGAATAATGTACACAGTGAACGGTCACGCAGTGTGTGCAGTAACGTGGTGAGTTGTCAGGCTGTCATCAGTAAACCCCCAAACAGGTGCTGGGAGGATGCGGGGGAGAGGGGACCTCCCGGGCCCAGCCGGTGGGAATGCAGCCGGGGCAGCCTGGTGGAGAGCGGCATGGAGTTTGCTCAGTACATTAAAGATGGAGCAGCAGTTCCACTTCTGGGAATTTATCCAAAGCAACCCGAGCGCTGATTTGAAAGAATCCATGCACCCTTCTGTCCACGGCAGAGCTATTTACAGCAGCCAGGGTCTGGAAGCAGCCCGAGTGCCCGCCAGTGGACGAGTGGATAAAAAAGCCTCGGTACACGTACACCGCGGAATACTGCTTGGCCGTAAAAAAGCATTTAAAAACATCCACTCCAGCTGACATTCCATATTGTATCAGGTCCAGGTGTCTCACCTTCTCTCCTCCCTCACTCCGCAGTCTCCTCGGACCAGATCGAGCAGCTCCACCGGAGGTTCAAGCAGCTGAGCGGAGACCAGCCCACCATCCGGTGAGTCGGGCAGCTGGGAGTCCTCTCCCTGGGTCTCTCTCCCTGCGTGCCCCGGGGTGCCCTGGGGGGCCCCTGGGGTGCCCTGGGGGGCCCATCTTCCAGAGCCGTTCTCATTCTCCGGCATCTTCAGGGCAAGATGCTCTCCGTGAGGAGAGGAGCCCCCGGCTTCTGGGACCAGAAACTTGTCACCTGAGTGCAGCCCAGGGGCGGGCGGGAGAGCTAGCCAGCCCCCCCCCCCCGCTCCCTCAGACGGGGGGCAGTGCCATGCCAGGGGCCCCCGCTCCCTCAGACGGGGGGGGCAGTGCCGGGCCAGGGGCCCCCGCTCCCTCAGACGGGGGGTGGGCAGTGCCGGGCCAGGGGCTGCCCAGCGGGAGCAGCGGACGGCTCTCCCCTCGGCCGTGAGCGCCGCCCTCGGTGAAGGTGCGGGTGAGGCTGAGCATCAGCCTGAGACCAGGCGGTCTGGGTTCGGTTCCGATGGAGGATTCTCTGGCCTCTCCCGTCCTCTCTCTGGATCACTAGACACTTTGTTTAAAATGAGGAGGTGGCCGGTGGCAGCCGCGCCCCTTTCGGAAGCCGTTTTTATGAGGGTGGATGCAGGTGCCTCCGGTGTCGGGGAGCCTCTGGTGTCGGGGTGCCTGCGGGGGCGGGGTGCCTCTGCCCTCCAGTGTCCGGGTGCCTCCGGGGGCGCTCAGCCCGGTGGTGAGAGTCCCCAGCCCGAGGGCCGTGAGGGCCGGCGGCAGGTTTAGTGTTTCCCTCGGAGGGTCGGGAGGCCTGACACGGGGGCCGCTCACAGTGCTCCGTGAGCCTGTCTGTGCACCGCCCTGGAGAGCCTGTCCGGTCCTGTCCCCTTCCCTCCCCCCACACAAATATACACACACACACCACACACACATATACACACACCACACACACACATACACACACACACACACACAACACACCACACACACATATACACACACTCCTCACACACACACATACACAGATACACACACACATACACACACACCACACACATACACATATATACACACACCACACACATATACACACACACCACACACACACATACACACACATATATACACACACACCACACACACACACAGATACACACACACATATACACACACACCACACACACACACACACACACACACAGATACACACACATATACACACACACCACACACACATATACACACACACCACATACACACACACAGATACACACACATATACACACACACACCACACACATATACACACACTACACACACATACACACACACCACATGCACACACATACACAGATACACACACATATATACACACACACACCACACACACATATACACACAACACATACACACACATATATACACACACACCACACACACATACACACACCACACACACCACACACACATACACACATACACACCACACACATACACACACATACACACATATACACACATACACACACCACACGCACACATACACACACACACCACACACACACACACGCACACAGGAAGTCGTGGTGGAGACCCCCCCACTTCGCAGAGGGCTGAGGAGGCCGTGCCCTGGCCTGGGTGGGCAGCCCGGGCGGGAGCGGGTTGGCACCCGGGGCTGAGACCCGTAAGGACGCGGCTCCTCCCCGCCTCGGGCGCAGGGTCCGGCCGCAGCACAGGCCTGGGCGGGAGGCGGGGCTGCCCGGGCGGGCGGCTGTGCCAGGCCTGCGGGAGGGCCCCTCCGGCTCTGGCCCCCTCAGGGCCCGGGAGCGCACCCGGGGCTTCTCGGTCCCTGGGGCTCCGTCGTCGCCCAGGCAGAGGAACGGGACGGGAGCCCGGGGCTGCGGGCTGGTCTGCCTGACCCCAGCCAGCCTCAGCCTCTCTGGGCCCTGCATCCGTGGCTGTCTGGGCCCGGGGGGTGCTGGGCTGGGGGCCCGGGTGGTGCTGGGCTGGGGGCCCGGGTTGAGCTGGGGCTGGGGGCCCGGGTTGTGGTGGGGCTGGGGGCCCGGGTGGTGCTGGGCTGGGGGCCCGGGTTGAGCTGGGCTGGGGGCCTGGGTTGTGCTGCGTTGGGGGCCCGGGTTGTGCTGGGATCGGGGGCCCGGGTTGAGCTGGGATCGGGGGCCCGGGTTGAGCTGGGATCGGGGGGCCCGGGTTGAGCTGGGGCTGGGGGCCCGGGTTGTGCTGGGGTGGGAGGCCCGGGTTGTGCTGGGTTGGGGGCCCGGGTTGTGCTGGGATCAGGGAACCAGGGTTGTGCTGGGTTGGGGGGCTGGGTTGTGCTGGGCTGGGGGCCCGGGTTGAGCTGGGATCGGGGGGCCCGGGTTGAGCTGGGCTGGGGGCCTGGGTTGTGCTGGGTTGGAGGCCCGGGTTGTGCTGGGTTGGGGGCCTGGGTTGTGCTGGGATCGGGGGGCCTGGGTTGTGCTGGGTTGGGGGCCCGGGTTGTGCTGGGATCGGGGGGCCTGGGTTGTGCTGGGTTGGGGGCCCGGGTTGAGCTGGGCTGGGGGCCCGGGTTGAGCTGGGATCAGGGAACCAGGGTTGTGCTGGGGCTGGGGGGCTGGGTTGTGCTGGGGTGGGGGGCTCGGGTTGTGCTGGATCGGGGGGCCCGGGTTGTGCTGGATCGGGGGGCCCGGGTTGTGCTGCGTTGGGGGGCTCGGGTTGTGCTGGGGTGGGGGCCCGGGTTGTGCTGCGTTGGGGGGCTCGGGTTGTGCTGGGGTGGGGGCCCGGGTTGTGCTGGGGTTGGAGGCCCGGGTTGAGTTGGGATGGGGGCCCCGGTTGTGCTGGGGGTGGGGGCCCGGGTTGAGCTGGGCTGGGGGCAGGGCAGGGATTGTCTCTGCTAGGAGAGCTGTTGGTGGGGCTGGCCAGGGTGTGGGGACATTCCAGACCATGAGAAAGGCGTAGACTGGGGATCCCCGAGCGTGGCCCCAGCACCCCGGGCTGCGGGTGTGGGAGGCAGTACCCTGTGCCCTCCCACAGGGGAGAGTGAAATACCACAGTGCCCTCCACAGTGACCCCTCAGTGACCCCACGGTGACCTCCACGGTGACCCCTCAGTGACCCCACAGTGACCCCCACAGTGACCCCTACTGTGACTCCCATGGTGACCCCACAGTGATCCCATAGTGACCCCCCACAGTGACCCCACAGTGACCCCACGGTGACCCCACAGTGATCCCATAGTGACCCCCCACAGTGACCCCACAGTGACCCCCATAGTGATCCCTGTGACCCCCAGTGACTCCAGGTGAGCCCACAGTGACCCCCAGGTGACCCCTCAGTGACCTTTTACAAGAATGCAGCCGTGGCCTCGTGCGCTTTCCTTGGCCCTTCGCCCGGACTGCCCTCAACAGGACTTTCCACCCCGGGGCCTGGCAGGCGCCCGGCACCAGAAATAGCCGCGCCCCGAGGCCCGGCGATGAGATAGCGGCTCCCGCCGGCTCCGAGGCCCGGGCGGGGAGGGGTGGCTGGTGCAGGCGGCCCCCGCGGCCCTCACCGGGCGCCGCCACGGCCCCGCCGCCCCACGGAGGCAGGGTTCACCCCACAGGGCCCCGCGGCCGCCCAGCTGGTGCGGACGGTGCCAGGCGCCCGGCGGGTGCGGCCAGGAGCCCCGGGTCCGCTCACACCGCGTGCAGATTCGGGCCCTGAGGCCCGCGGCCCCGGCGCCGTGGTCCCTGCGCCCCGGGCAGAGCTGGCCGCTGCGGGAGCCCTGCCCGCCCTCCCCCCCCCCCCCCCCAGGACCGGTGGCCGGAGCTGACGGCCTCGGGAGCGCCCCCCCTCCGCCGGGTGAGCGGCCCGCGGGCGGGGCGGGGCCTGCGGGTGCGGCGGGCGCTGCCCGGTGAGAGCGGCCTGGGCCACGGAGCTCTCCTCCTCCAGGGCCCAGGCAGTGCTGCCGCCCTGGCCACTGCCCGGGGGCACTGGTCCTCCTTCCGGCCCCGGCCCAGGGCCGCCCTGCTCAGCATCCAGTGGCCCAGCCTGGGCGGCGGACGCTGACAGCGAGTGCAGGGAGGGGTGGGGGGAGATGGGAGGGGTGGGGGTGACGGGGTGGGGGGGAGATGGGAGGGGTGAGGGGAGGCGGGAGGGGTGGGGGGAGAGGAAAGGCCCCCCTCAGTGCTGGGCCTGGGCACCGGACCCGATGAGGAGGCTGGAGGTCGGGCCGAGGATCTGGGCTCCTGGGCCCTCAGCTCGGGGCTCGGGAAGGCGGGTGGCTGGGGCAGCCCAGAGCCGAAGCCCCTGAGAACGTGGCTGCTGGCTGAGCCTCAGAGCTGCGGAGACCTCCCACACCACGGGCTGCGCAGGGCCCGCCGGCTCCGTGGTTCATTCCTCCTGTCCCTCCCGGGGGCGGACGCTGGCCTCTCTCTGGGTCCCGCTGCAGCCTCGGGCCCTGTGGGAGCAGGTGCCCAGAACGTCTCTGCTCTTCTCTTTAAGGGAGAGCGCTCAGGCGGGAGGAGCGGCGAGTGAGGACGGGCCGGGGCGGTCAGAGCTGCTGCGTGGCCGTGGCTGCGTGGCCGTGGCCGTGGCTGCGTGGCCGTGGCTGCGTGGCCGTGGCTCAGCCGCTGCACGGTCTGGGCCTCACTGTCTTGTCTGAAATGGGCGGCACTTGCACAGCCGGACGCCGTGAGAGCCTCCAGGAGGGGCGGGAGCCGTGTGTCCTGAGGCCTTGTGGGCAGCACCCCCTGCTGGTCACGGGGCCTCCGCTCTGGCCCAGGGCAGTGCCCGTCCCAGGTGAGGCAGGGCCTGTTCCCACAGCTCAGACACCGTCAGCCCAGCTGGTCCAACCAGCCCCGTGGGCACCTGGGGCCAGTGGGGAGGAAGGGAAATCAGACCGAAACCGGCTTTTATGGCGCGTGGAATGCTGTCGGCCTTTCCCAGTTTTGGGCACAAGGCCCGTGTCCAGCTTGGCATGTCACTGGGAGTGCCCCCGAGAGCCAGGCCCGCCCCCTCCCCCCACCCCGGCTCTCAGAGGGCTGCTCCGGCCGGGCCGTGGGCCCACGTCCACGGGGCCGTCCACGTCCACGGGGCCGTCCTTACAGGAGGAGGAAGGCCCTCCTCCCGGCCTCGGTTCCCGCCTTTAGGGCGGAGATGAGCCCCTGCCTTCAGGGTAGGATGGCACTGAGGGGGACATGGGCGCCAGGTGCTGTCATCACCATCGTCCTCGTCATTCGAGGTGAAGAGCTCATAAAGGCTGTGCACCCAGCGTGCCTCTCTCTCGTTCATTCCTCCTTAGCCCCGCGATGTTACCTCTTACTCCATGGTCCCGTTTCTCGGGAGAAATCTGGGGCTTGACACGGGGCTGGGGCTCACCGGGACCGCCCCTCCCCCCTGAGCTTGACATCACATCTCCTTTATTTTTTATTTATTTTTAGTTTTTTTTTTAAATATTATATATATTTTATTGATTTTTTACAGAGAGAAAGAGGGATAGAGAGTTAGAAACATCGATGAGAGAGAATCATTGATCAGCTGCCTCTTGCACACCCCCTATTGGGGATGTGCCCACAACCAAGGTACATGCCCTCGACCGGAATCGAACCTGGGACCTTTCAGTCCACAGGCTGATGCTCTATCCACTGAGCCAAACGGGTTTTGGCTCACATCCCCTTTGATACGGGAGGAGTGAGCTTCCCCCCCACATTCACAGACGAGGAAAGAGAGGCTCAGTGGGGAAGGTGCCTGTGGTGAGGAGGGACGGGGAGAGCCTGCCAGCCTGTGGGCCCAGTTCCCACCTCCGAGGAAGGAGCAGGGCAGCTGGGTTTCCAGACAGCCTCACCCACCTGCTGATTCCGGCTCCGCCTCACCTCCCTTTGCTGCCGGGAGAGGAGGTCTCCTGTGTTACCTGCTTTTCCAGGCCTGCAGTTTGCCTCTGGGGGCTGCTCCCCCGGGGTGGCCTGGCCCTGGGGATAGCCTAGCCCTGGGGGTGGCCCGGCCCTGGGGATAGCCTGGCCCTGGGGATGGCCTGGCCCTGCGGGTGGCCTGGCCCTGGGGGTGGCCTGGCTATAGGGATGGCCCGGCCCTGGGGGTGGCTGGCCTTGGAGGTGGCTGTCCTGGGGGTGGCCCAGCTCTGGGGGTGGCTGTCCTGGGGGTGGCTGGCCCTGGGGGTGGCTGGCCCTGGGGGTGGCCTGGCCCTGTGGGGTGGTCTGGCCCTGGGGATGGCCTGGCCCTGTGGGGTGGTCTGGCCCTGGGGGTGGCCTGGCCTTGTGGGGTGGCTGTCCTGGGGGTGGCTGTCTTGGGGGTGGCTGCCCTGGGGGTGGGTCCTCCCTCCATCCTTTCTCCTCACCCTCCCTCCCAGGACGTGGCTGCCTGTCCTCCCTCTCAGGTCAGCCCCAGGACTCGCTGACACTTGCTGGGAGCTCACGGTGGCCAGGGCAGATGGCTCCGTCTCTCCCTGCTTCCACATTGGGGCTCTCCTTCGTTAGCTCTTTGTGGCTGGGTTGGGGTCTCGGGGCCTAGGCTGGCTCTTCAGAACCAGGGTCAGCCCCTCGGACTGGCTTGGGCTACTGGGGTCCAGGTTGAGGTTTTAGGGGCTCGTCTCCGCTCCTCGGAACCGGTGCCAGCCCTTGGCAGTAGATCAGCTCTTAGCGGCTGGGCCATCCGGGCTTGGTCCGTTAAAATCAAACGGGCCGGCCGTGGGAAGCCCGGTCCCCACAGACTGCCTTAGAGGAGAGCACCTACGTGACACTCGGCCTGGGAGCCGAGGTGGAAGGGCTGCTGACTCCCGGGGCGGTGCCTGTGGAAGCCCCGGACGCCGAGGCTGGCCCCGGCCGCTGGAGGGGGGGCTGCTTCGGGGCGAGCTGGGCCCCGGGCAGGCTCCTCCCTCCGGGACCGGCTGCCACGTTGCTCTGGTGGGACCGGGCTCTTAGGGGCTGAGCTCTGCCCGGGCCTGGGCTTTGGCTCTTTGGGTCCCGCGGGAGCGCCAGGCAGAGACAGGCACTGGCACCGGGCAGAGGGCAGAGCTTGTCCGGTCTGGGGCGTTCTCTGGGAAACTTTCACCCGAAACCGTGCTTAAGCCTCTGCGTGCGTGGCACTTCCTCCTCCCGCCGGCTTCCGAGTCCATCCGGGTGGGAGCCGGTCCCTCCTGGCCTGCCTGTGAGGGGGTGGTCCCCCCCGCCCGGGCGGGCCTCCCGCCCCCGGTTCCACCTGTGCCTGGGTCTCTTCCAACACCCCCGCCCACGTCACACCACGCAGGGGGAGAGGCGAGCAAGCGAGAGGCGAGCAGGGGGAGGGGCGGGCAGGGGGAGAGGCCAGCAAGCGAGAGGCGAGCAGGGGGAGGGGCGGGCAGGGGGAGGGGCGGGCAGGGAGGGAGGCGGGCAGGGGGGAGGGAGGAAGGGGAGGGGCGGGCAGGGGGGGAGGCGGGCAGGAGAGGAGGCGGGCAGGGGGAGAGGCGGGCAGGGGGAGAGGTGAGCGAGCGAGAGGCGGGCAGGGGGGGAGGCGGGCAGGGGGAGAGGTGAGCGAGTGAGAGGCGGGCAGGGGGAGAGGCGGGCAGGGGGAGAGGTGAGCAAGCGAGAGGCGGGCAGGGGGAGAGGCGGGCAGGGGGAGAGGCGGGCAGGGAGGGAGGTGAGCAGGGGAGAGAGGCGAGCAGTGGGGGAGGCAGGCAGGGGGAGAAGAGGGCAGGGAGCGAGGCGGGCAGGGGGAGAGGCGAGCAGTGGGGGAGGCAGCAGGGAGAAGGGGAGCAGGAAGCAGACTGAGAACACAGGTGGGCGTGCGGGCAGGGCAGGGTGAGGACTTCCCGCAGCCCCGGCCTGGAGGGCCCGGGGGCCTGGGCCGGCGGCCGCTGCGTTTGGTGGGCTCCCCTCCCTGCCGAGTCGGCATCTTTGTTTGAACAGCTTTACTGAAACACAGCCCACACGCCCTTCAGCTCACGTGTTAGGACGCACATGTCACCGGCTCCAGTCTGTTCCCAGCGTGGTGACAGCAAGCACCACATCTCGCTTTAGACGTTTTGTCCCGTATCCTCAGCCTCACGCCCATCGCTCCAGCCCTCCCCCGCGCCTGTGGACCCGACTGCCCCGGACACTCATATAAATGGAATCGTACCCTGCGCGCCGTCCTGTCCGGTTTCTTCCAGCCTCGCGCTGCAGGAGGCACCCACCGTTCACTCAGTTTGTGCCGAAGAGCACGCCATGTGTGGGCCCCCATTGTGTTTATCCAGTCAGCGGGCTCCCGGGCCTGTGGAGGAGGGGCTGCTGGACACGGTGGACACGTAGGGGTTTCCACTCCACGCGATGTGAATCCTGCAGCTGCGAACGTCCATGCACATTTTCACATCCGCATGCTTCCTTTCACACCTGCGAGCAGAGTCTCTGGGTCCGGCGGTCACTTGTCACCTCACGCCCGGAGGACGGCCAGACCCTGTGCCGATCCCCAGGCCAGCACCTGCCGTGAACCCCACAGGGGCCGGGCAGGTCTCTGCCCGCCCGGACGGGTGCGGTCCTGTGTCCTCTAATGTTCTGGAGGGGGATGTCCAGGACACTCCGTGGGTTCCCCACAGCCTCGCTGAGCCCCCAGACCTGCCCTGTCCCACGCTCAGTCCTGCTGACCTGCTCTCGTGGGCCCCATCAGGGCGAAGGGGACAGCCTGGCCCTGGGTCAGTGGCTCAGTCAGTCGGAGCCTCGTCCAGAACACCAAATGCATTTCGGGTTCCATCTCCAGTTGGGGCACATACGGGAAGCAACCAATTGATGTTTCTCTCTGACATCAATGTTTCTCTCTCTCTCTCATCAGTAGAGGATTTAAAAAAAGAGTACAGCCTGTGAAGTTATATGACACCTGCTTTCTTTTCTCTCTCCTTCCCTGGTGCCCATCCTCCTGGAACCAGCAAGGAGCACTTCAACAACGTGCCTGACCTGGAGCTCAACCCGATCCGATCCAAGATCGTCCGTGCCTTCTTCGATAACCGGTGGGCCTTCTCCCGTGGAGGGTCTGTGTCCTCGGGGGAGCGTGTCGCCCTCGTAACTAACGTTTCCCAGCCCCCGCGAGCTCGGCGCAGCCCTGGAGCTGGCGCAGGGCAGAGGAGGGGGCTGTGTTTGGTGGGAGCTGT